GGATGCATATATGAAGAAACCAGAGTTCGCTCTTAGCCCCGAATTCCCAAAATTCTATCTCCTAGAAGCCATTACTAGGTCAGTGCTAAGATCTGACCCTGTTGAGCATATAACCATTAATGTGCAACCCAATTATGAGCTTAGGTTTTTAGTTGAGATGGAGCACATGCTTTAATTTGGTATCAGAGCCAGATCATAGGTCATGGGTTTGAATCTCTACGTCACCCTAATTTCATTTCATGATTGTCTTTCCCGATTTTACCAAAGATACCAAATTGAAGCATGTGTTAATCATCAGAAGCGATTGTCTTTCCCGATTTTTTCAGTGTTAATCATCATAAGCGCTCTGATACCAAAGATACCAAATTGAAACAGAAGCGCTCTGATACCAAAGATACCAAATTGAAGCATGTGTTAATCATCAAAAGTGCTCTGATACCAAATTGAAGCATGTGTTAATTATCAGAAGCGTTGAAGCATGTGTTAATCATCAGAAGCGCTCTGATACCAAATTGAAGCATGTGTTAATCATCAGAAGCGCTCTGGTACCAAATTGAAGCATGTGTTAATCATCAGAAGCGCTCTGGTACCAAATTGAAGCATGTGTTAATCATCATAAGCGCTCTAATATCAAATTGAAGCATGTGTTCTCTGAAACAGATGATGGAGTGTTAATCATCAGAAGCGCTCGGATACCAAATTGAAGCATGTGTTAATCATCAGAAGCGCTCTGATAACAAATTGAAGAATGTGTTAATCATCAAAAGCGCTCTGATACCAAATTGAAGCATGTGTTCTTTGAAACCATGTCGTTTGAGGGTCAACCGTTACTGGCTGCAATCTGTTGTCTCGTCGGAATCATTTGGAAGGAGACACTATATATTGAAAATCTAGGCAATTCCAGAGTTGTGCTTGGCATGTTAAGCAATTCGGAGAGGATTATTACAGATGAGTTAACCAAAGAGCATAGTGCCGGCTCTGTAGATACCAAAAAAGAATTGAAGTCTTCTCATCCAGGTGATCCAAAGATTGTTGTTAGGAGATTTGGACAGTGGCTTGTTAAAGACGTTTTAAAGGTATGTGGCCAATACTGTTATATGGTTTCTTGAAGTTTATACAATCTGCTATTGTGTTTTGTGCTTATTTAGTTCTTATCAGGTTTCTAGATCGATTGGGGATGCCTATCTGAAGAAATCGGAGTTTGCTTTTGGCCCCAAATTTTCATGTTTATATTTCCCAGAACCAGAAGCCATTACTAGGGCAGTGCTAATTTCTGAGCCAAATGTATATATAAAACAACTTAAGCCAAATTTGTTATTCTGGGATCCAATGGGCGGTGGGAACACTTAATAGTCAAAAAGCCGTAGAGATTGTACATAGTAACTCAAAACCGGTAACTAGCTTGCCTTGTTTAATCTAAGATAAACTGTGTGTATTATGATGTTCCATCTAATGTTGTTTCTATGAATGGTTTCAGGGCATTGCACACCTTATAAAGACTGCTTTGATAGTGGCAGCAGAGAAAATCAATAAGATATATGACGCATTTAAGCAGGTTTCAAGGGGATAAGGGGAGGATTTCATGATGATATTACTGCAATTGTGATCTTCATAGATCGCCCGGTGGAAGAATGACTGGATTTTTTGATTTTGTCCGTCAAAGGACTCAGAACGAATGACTTGCCATCTGGTACCAAATTGAAGCATGTGTTAATCATCAGAAGCGCTCTGGTACCAAATTGAAACATGTGTTAATCATCATAAGAGCTCTGATACCAAATTGAAACATGTGTTCTCTGAAACAGAGGATGAAGTGTTAATAATCAGAAGCGCTCTGATACCAAATTGAAGCATGTGTTAATCATCATAAGCGCTCTGATACCAAATTGAAGAATGTGTTAATCATCAAAAGCGCTCTGATGCCAAATTGAAGCATGTGTTCTCTGAAACCATGTCGTTTGAGGGTCAACCGTTACTGGCTGCAATCTGTTATCTCGTCGGAATCATTTAGAAGGGGACACTATATATTGCAAATCTAGGCAATTCCAGAGCTGTGCTTGGCATGTTAAGCAATTCGCAGAGGATTATTGCAGATGAGTTAACCAAAGAGCATAGTGCCGGCTCTGTAGATATCAGAAAAGAATTGAAGTCTTCTCATCCATGTGATCCAAAGATTGTTGTTAGGAGATTTGGGCAGTGGCTTGTTAAAGACGTTTTAAAGGTATGTGGCCAATACTGTTATATGGTTTCTTGAAGTTTATACAATCTGCTGTTGTGTTTTGTGCTTATTTAGTTCTAATCAGGTTTCTAGATCGATTGGGGATGCCTATGTGAAGAAACCGGAGTTTGCTTTTGGCCGCAAATTTTCATGTTTATATTTCCCAGAACCAGAAGCCATTACTAGGCCAGTGCTAATTTCTGAGCTAAATGTATATATAAAACACCTTAAGCCAAATTTGTTATTCTGGGATCCAATGGGCGGTAGGAACACTTAATAGTCAAAAAGCCGTAGAGATTGTACATAATAACTCAAAACCGGTAACTAGCTTGCCTTGTTTAATCTAAGATAAACTGTGTGTATTATGATGTTCCATCTAATGTTGTTTCTATGATTAGTTTCAGGGCACTGCACGCCTTATAAAGGCTGCTTTGATAGTGGCAGCAGAGAAAATCAATAAGATATATTACGCATTTAAGCAGGTTTCAAGGGGATAAGGGGAGGATTTCATGATGATATTACTGCAATTGTGATCTTCATAGATCGCCCGGTGGAAGAATGACTGGATTTTTTGATTTTGTCCGTCAAAGGACTCAGAACGAATGACTTGACATCTGGTACCAAATTGAAGCATGTGTTAATCATCAGAAGTGCTCTGGTACCAAATTGAAGCATGTGTTAATCATCATAAGCACTCTGATACCAAATTGAAGCATGTGTTCTCTGAAACAGAGGATGAAGTGTTAATCATCAGAAGCGCTCTGATACCAAATTGAAGCATGTGTTAATCATCATAAGCGCTCTGATACCAAATTGAAGAATGTGTTAATCATCAAAAGCGCTCTGATACCAAATTGAAGCATGTGTTCTCTAAAACCATGTCGTTTGAGGGTCAACCGTTACTGGCTGCAATCTGTTGTCTCGTCGGAATCATTTAGAAGGGGACACTATATATTGCAAATCTAGGCAATTCCAGAGCTGTGCTTGGCATGTTAAGCAATTCGCAGAGGATTATTGCAGATGAGTTAACCCAAGAGCATAGTGCCGGCTCTGTAGATATCAGAAAAGAATTTGAAATCTTCTCATCCAGGTGATCCAAATATTGTTGTTAGGAGATTTGGACAGTGGCTTGTTAAAGACATTTTAAAGGTATGTGGCCAATACTGTTATATGGTTTCTTGAAGTTTATACAATCTGCTGTTGTGTTTTGTGCTTATTTAGTTCTTATCAGGTTTCTAGATCGATTGGGGATGCCTATGTGAAGAAACCGGAGTTTGCTTTTGGCCCCAAATTTTCATGTTTATATTTCCCAGAACCAGAAGCCATTACTAGGCCAGTGCTAATTTCTGAGCCAAATGTATATATAAAACACCTTAAGCCAAATTTGTTATTCTGGGATCCAATGGGCGGTGGGAACACTTAATAGTCAAAAAGCCGTAGAGATTGTACATAGTAACTCAAGACTGGTAACTAGCTTGCCTTGTTTAATCTAAGATAAACTGTGTGTATTATGATGTTCTATCTAATGTTGTTTCTATGATTAGTTTCAGGGCACTGCACGCCTTATAAAGGCTGCTTTGATAGTGGCAGCAGAGAAAATCAATAAGATATATTACGCATTTAAGCAGGTTTCAAGGGGATAAGGGGAGGATTTCATGATGATATTACTGCAATTGTGATCTTCATAGATCGCCCGGTGGAAGGACTGGATTTTTCGATTTTGTCCGTCAAAGGACTCAGAACAAATGACTTGCCATCTGGTGTTAACCTTCAGTACGACATTGAAGTTGACCCAAACTCAGTCCTTCAATCATCAGAAGGAACGCCTCTAGGTCCATGAGCACCAAGATACTGGTGAAGTTGAAATACTAACAAAAGGTACACTTTTTGTGTGTGCTACTTAGATAGCCCAGGAAATATCATTTCATTCCTGGATTTCCATACCTTTTAGCTACCAACACTAGCTACCAACACATTTGAAATCTTAACTTCCGAGTAAACTTGGTATATCACATAATTTTCATTGTGTGATTTCTGGGATGTTTCTCATCAATTGTCTTTTCAATGTTTTGGGGGTTGGTGAACTTTATTTCGGTGCATTTGCACTTTTCTTAAAATGATATTATAATTCTTGACATTTGCACTTTTCTTAAAATGATATTATAATTCTTCAAGAGACAATAATTTTGGGGATGATAGAGCTCTATATGCCCACGGTCAGCTCTGGTTACAGCGTCAGCACATCATGGGGAGAGCTGTAGGGTGAGCGCACACTAGAAGTGCAGTTTCAATTCTTCAATCTGATTAACAGTGAAGTTTCTATACTCTACAGTGCACATCTAATGAGGACCTTGAGTATTAAAAAATTACTTCAACTTCAGTCTAATGAGGACCTTGAGTATTAAAAAATTACTTCAACTTCAGTTTTGTTTGTCATTATCTGCAAATTAGCTATCCAAGCTCAGTTGGTGTAAAATTCTGCACCAATTTCAACATCGTCTCGTCTGTCATACATTTCCATTTCCAATAATAATGTGCTGTTGTGCCTGTGATAAACTTACAATAATAATGTGCTGTTGTGCCTGTGATAAACTTACATCCCATCTGGAAGGATTGAATGTTAATGGTTCTTCATATATCTCCTCTTGCCCACATTTAGTTTATTAGATTATTATTATACATGCATGTCATAGGCTCAACCAAGAGAGTGTTTTATGTGGGAGCTTGGGGGAGGGATAGGTTGCTTTGAAATACTTGAAAAATTGCATGTTAACAACAGTAGTAACATATAACAATTCTCCATGTTGACAGTAGTGAGAATGTTCATTTATCAGAAATCCAAATAACATAAAAGTAGACAAATCTTCTTAATAGCAATACTAACAAAAAAAAAATGCCAAGATCCTGTTTGTGTCTCCACTGGCCAAATCTTGAAAAACTCGAAAGAATGAACATAAAGAAAACAATAAGTAAAATAACAAATGAGAAGGAAGCAGCATAGCAACTGAGGAGAAGCTGTTTTCATAGCACAGCTTGTATAAATCTCTCCAGATGTCTCTTTCCCAGCATGCAGCATTTAGAAGCATTTCCTATGAACAATCGAGGGTCCTGATTCATCATACTCTGCCTTTGCTATCCACATCTGCAATAGCCACAGAAAAAAAAAAAGGTTTATACTACGGAAATCTCAAGATTATCATATTTCTCAAGGTAATCTGCAGTGGCATACCTGTTGGAATGTGCTCAGGGAGGCCAAAATAGATCCTCCAATCCACACACTGTACTTCCTCTCAGGCGGGGCAACAACCTTTATCTTCATGCTACTCGGAGCCAAAGCTGTGATCTCCTTGCTCATCCTATCAGCAATGCCCCCGAACATAGTGGTACCACCACTGAGGACAATGTTTCCATAAAGATCCTTCCTAATATCCACGTCACACTTCATGATGGAATTGTAAGTAGTTTCATGAATGCCAGCAGCTTCCATCCCGATGATCGATGGCTGGAAGAGAACCTCTGGGCAGCGGAACCGCTCATTACCGATGGTAATCACTTGTCCATCAGGCAACTCGTAGCTCTTCTCCACAGCTGAGCTGGTCTTTGATGTTTCCAGCTCTTGTTCATAGTCAAGAGCAATGTAGGATAACTTCTCCTTCATATCTCTAACAATTTCTCGCTCCGCAGAAGTGGTGAAAGAGTAACCCCTCTCAGTCAGAATCTTCATGAGGTGATCCGTGAGATCACGTCCTGCCAAATCCAGACGCAGGATGGCGTGTGGGAGGGCATACCCTTCGTAAATGGGAACTGTGTGGCTCACACCATCTCCAGAGTCCAGAACAATACCTGCCAAAGGGTACCAACACCAATTAACCTTAATGGAAGGATAGATAGGACATAGGACACGTATATATTTTTAAGGGCGAGTAATGCTTACCAGTAGTACGACCACTGGCATAAAGGGAAAGCACTGCCTGAATAGCAACATACATGGCAGGGGCATTGAAAGTCTCGAACATGATCTGAGTCATCTTCTCACGATTCGCCTTGGGGTTAAGGGGGGCTTCTGTGAGCAGTACCGGGTGCTCTTCTGGTGCCACACGAAGTTCATTGTAGAACGTATGATGCCAGATTTTCTCCATGTCATCCCAGTTGTTGACAATTCCATGCTCAATAGGGTACTTCAGAGTCAAAATACCTCTCTTAGATTGAGCCTCGTCACCAACATAAGCATCCTTCTGGCCCATGCCAACCATCACTCCAGTATGACGAGGGCGTCCAACAATGCTAGGGAAGACAGCCCTTGGAGCATCATCTCCAGCAAATCCAGCCTGAAAATTCCATGAAAATTGTAAAACATCAATCTCCAAGCCTAGATAATGCAGACACTTAACCTTTATTTACATCACATTATATGTTAAAGATGTTAAAGATTCCTACCTTGACCATTCCAGTACCATTGTCACACACAAGAGGCTGGATATCCTCACCTTCGGCCATTTTTTAATGAGCTGTGGTAAAACAAACATGTTATCAAACAATAGGTTTAATCCATTAAAATCAATTGAAGGCACATAGCTAAGCAATACACATCTTGATACTTGATAAGCATGGATCTCAGACTTTCAAGTGAAAAGTCAGTACATGCAAAGCACATATGAATATATGATTTCTTCTCTGAAGAAAAGGGGCAACCCCATTTCTGTTCCTCTTTTAAACACACAATCAGAATTGGAATATGGAGGCAAAACTTATAAGATTACTTCCCCCATCAGATCCCAAAAAGACCAGACTTTCGCAAATGAGAAAACTGGGTGAATAGCCATAAATCTTTCAGTCATTTTCAAAATACGCATTTGCAGATCGACAGATCCGATTCCAATGGAAACATAATCAACCCGTTAAATGCACGAAAACAATCAGAAATTCATAAAAAAACTGCATAATCAACGAACCTATTCTTAAAAAAAACCAATGATATTCAACTTTTACAACAAATATCAACCTTTCTCCAGCTGAATAACCTCAAAGATTCAAACTTTGATGAGGAAAATGAACATAAAGATTACCTTTTTAAGGATTGTTAAGAAGCGGGTTTGGGTATATGGTGCTGGACTGCTGGCTGTTGTTCTCCGACTTCGTTCTTTCGCCCTTAAACAGAATATTTTGTGCCCGCCCTCTGGTTTAAATGAGGGCTCCGAATGACTGAGTCTCAGCCTGGAAATGAAATTCGGGTCAAATTTGCCCCAAATTCGGATCTGCTTAGATCAGGGCCGTTGGTTGTATGATTGCACCTCCCCGTGAGTCGGACCTCACGTCAGCATCATGTGCGTGGTTGACATAGTTGCTCTCTTTTGCACATAATTTATGTTGTCAGGACTATTATGCCCTTTACTCTTTTTTTTTTTTTTTTTTTTTTTGTTAATTCTAATTCTAATTTTTTTCTCTTTTTCTCTTTTTTTTTTTCAAAAAAAATCTATTTTTTCTTTTTTTTTTTTTAACAAAATTTGTTGTTGAGTTTTTGTCCCAAAAGATAAAAGTGGCGGCCACCCTGATACGTCTATTAAGCACACTCATTGTCCACATAGCATTTTTTAATGAAACATTTCAAAAATTTACATTTATATGACAATATCTTTAATCTCTCTCCTCTATCCTTTCTCTCCCACCTTACTCTAAAGTTACCAAAAAAATAAAAATCATGAAAATTTCCTCAATTTTAACTTATTAAAATTTACTTGTTTATCTATCTCGTTGGATTGATATTTTTGCAAAGACGTAGTATAATGTCAACTAGTCATCTAAATTCAATTAATTCTAGTGTGATTAATGAATTACAATATTTAAAATTATTAAATTTTTAATCACTCGAATATTAACCGCTAGTTAATGTAACACTTTTTTAAAAAAATTGAATAAATGTTATTGTCCAATTATCTCCTTCGTTGCTGAATTGGTGCTTAAGGTAAAATACTAAAATGACTAATAAAAAATGTTTGCAAGCAAAGGGGTTTTTAGAACACAAAATTCAATGAGGGCATAATTGTCATTTTAGTGAGGTACCCAGAAAATCAATCGACACTTTTTCTTGTAAAGCCATTAAATTTATCACTTTATTGCCATAAGGTACACTTTTTAATTTTTAAAATTTATTATTTTTAATATATATTTTTTCAGTGTGCGAGTGGGTGAGGGCAATGATGAAGGGGTATGGTGGGGCCAATGCCAGCATAGAATTCCACCGCCAACAGCCTGTGAAGATGATGCTGCCCTCTTTTCTTCACGTGAGGAGAAAGCTCCGTCCACTCACACCTGCCGGTTCCCCCATCCCCCATTTTCCTTATATCTTAATCAATGTTTCTACCAACGGAACCGGTCAATCCTACGATTTTATCGGTTTACCATATATACGGTCCGATCAAGCGGTCCACTATCACTGGACCGTTGATGAGAGCTAGAAATTTTGTGAATTGGGAAGTACGTTTCAATTTTATATGTTTTAATGAATTTTATAATCTTATCTCCACTTGATTTATAATTGAATGTTATAAATTGCATATATTCTTCCCATGCGACAGAGCATTTGGAATGATGTAAATCATGGTAACTCAACTGAACATGAACCACAGAGGCTAGATATTTGCTCACTGCGCACAAGGAACTCTCCTCATTTTGAGAGGTATGAATCACATAGGCTAGACATTTGTTCACTGCGCACAAGGAACTCCCCTCACTTTGAGAGGTAGCCGTCATTCTTCCAAAATTTCACTTATATGACCAGTTGAGCTGCCCATTCGAGTTATAAATTGCATATATTATATATATAACGCGTTACTAAATAATTAAAAGTATATGTTTGTTAGGGGAAATCATAGTCGAGTTGATCGAACATTTCACTCGATAATTACAATGTTCTAAATTTGATTCCTCATAAGAGTTATCTAATGACGTTCTCGGTTTAAGGTAGTTTGACTAAGATTATAAGATAAAACAAACTTAACACAAAGTGTACCTTCAAATAATGATTACGGACATTTCGTGAATATCAAAGTAAATGTTTGTTGAGGTTACACGCCAAATATACTTAGCATTCAGATATCAAGGCCCATAATGAGTGTAGGTTGAATATGATTGTGCTTGACTTCCATAACGAATGGAGAGTAACTTGCAAAATAGTCATATGTTGAAAATGGGTAGACTATTCAAGGCTTTTGGGAGTTTGATATTCAACGACGTCAAAACACTTTTATTTTATGTGACAAAAGTGGATTCATTATGATTAATTTTACTCTATAAGATTTGAAAGGCATTTGATTGTTTGATTGCAATTAATAAACCAGTTGGGAACTTGGCAAGGTTGAAGGATAGTTTGAGAACACTATAACTAGCCCATGGGTGTGTTGAGCAACTATATATCATCCCGTAATGTTTGATTCTTTCCACGAACATTGTGAGTTTGAGTTTGAGTTTGATTTTTTGTGCTATCTAAAAAATTATACAATTTGGTATTAAGGTTTGAACGTAGTTTAACCCGATTTACATTCTCATGGACTTTGAAACGAGTTCATCAGGAAACAAGAGTTATAATAATAATAATAACAATAATAATAATAATAATAATACACTATTTTATGCAAAAATCCGACCCATTGATAACCGGAACATTATACCATGGATTCGGGTTTACCTTGCATCGTAGACCCTTATTCAAAAATAACCTTCAGATTATGTATCTATAGTTGACACGTTATGTATCTTCAATCGATAATTTTTGTACATGTAGCTATCATATTATGTGTCAACAATTATAAAATCAAATTATGTATCTATAGTTGGCACAGTATACTGCAGTTGGCACAGTATGCTGCAGTTGATAGTTTTTGTACCTATAACTATCCTATTATGTGTAAGCAATTATCAAGTTATTTATTTACATATACAAAAATAGTTAATTGCATGTACATAATGTGTTAATTAAATGTACAAAATTTTTATATCAGAGTTCACAATGCAATATCAACCATGGTCCATGGTATAACAATTGTTGTGATAGCCCAGGATACATTCTGGCCATTAAAGGGCGGCCCAAAAAATGAGTGGGCTTAATAGAACCAAGGCGGGTGAGGCCCAGACGACCTGACCGGAGTAACACAAATTTCGCAGTCATCTTCCACCACCGTTGTTTCTCAAGAGTTTACTCTGTCCCTGCGTATGCGTTGATATGTTCGCTTCTTCTCTCTCTCTTTCTTCCAGCAATCTCCATGTAAAAGATGAATATGAACAGAGGCATTTCAGCGCTTATAAGCTCTCATCAACCTAACCCTTTTCACATTAGCGTCTCATTTTTTCACTCGACTCCTATCCTGGAACGCAAAAGACGCACTCAATGGGATTCTGTTAGTCTTTCTCTCTCTCTCTCTTGCTCGCTGTTTATTTTAAGAAATGAATTCATGAAATGAGCAGGTTGGATTTATAATGAATATTTGTGTATTGAAATTGAGTATATGCCCAAATTGAATGAAGTTTGGGGTGTACCAATTTCATTATTAGGGCTAAATACTATTAAAGGTTTGAGCTTTTCCTGCTTAGGGTTGGAATATTTGAGCTTAGTTCCAATAACTGCTAGGAATTGAGCAAAACTATGATTCATGCCTTGTATAGTTGTATTGAAACTGGGTTTCTATCAGAATTGAATAAAGTTTTCTTCTTAATTTGTTGTCTGTGGGGAAATGGCCTGTAATAAGGGGTCATCAAGGGTGAGAACCGCCAATGATCATTATATCATAGGACCATGGTCGATGGACCACTTACATAAGTTTATATATATATATATATATATATATATATATATATATATATATATATATATATATATATATATATATATATATATATATATATATATATATATATACACTGAAAGTTCAATTTTAATACATTGAATCTTATTTTTAAGGTACATAAGATTCAATTTTAATACTACCAAATAATAAACCTTTAATACACAAAAAAATGAACCTTCAAATATTAAAAAGAACATTTATGCATAGTCCTCAGTGCAATGTGGACCATGGTCCATAGTATAATTTGACGAACTGCCAATGACATTGCATTGATTGAGTAATGTTGCATATAGATGGTACTAAATAGGTGCAGTGTCACTTTGTATGGAGTGAGAGTTATCTTTGTTGCATAGTGATACATAACATTCCTGCTGTCAAAGATTAATATAATTTCTAATTTAGATGTCTCTGTCTCTGCAAATGAGTTTTTGAATCATTCTTCACCATGATCTACTACAACCTGAAAAAGGGAACTTTTTTTGACAAGCAAAGATAGTGAAATGATTCCTGAATTTTTATGCTACACCGGAGAGTATTGGGGCAAATATGTCATCCTTAAAAGGCACCAGAACAGGGATAGGATATAGGGGTATAGTTTGTGTATCCGATTTAAATAAATTAAATTAGCAGTTTGGAACATTTTGCCTGGCCAGGGTTTAATTGTCTTTTTTCTTGTGTATCTAAGGCTTGGATTTATCAACATACCGGCTTGGTATTCCATTCATTAGTGGATGTTCTTAGATGCATTGTTTACCTCTTAACAAACTTAGGAAAGTTGAATTTTGATATTTGTAGACCAGCTAAATGTTACACGTATCTGCTTATTTTAATACCTGTCTCTATTGTGTTTATAGTTTCAGTTTTTTGCATCCCGTTTTTGGTGGAATTGAATCTTTTGGCTGTGATCATCCTTCGTCAACCTGACAATTCTTAATAGTTGTTTAAACTGGAAAGACCCGCCTTTTCAATTCACTGGTTACTTTCATCAATTGACAATGGAGCTTTTTACAAATGTAGTTAATTAACAATTGATTCTCTAATTTTAAAAGGCTTGTAGTTTTTTTTAAAAAAAAAAAAAAAAAATCTTTTACCTATTTTTGGCATTTAAATGATATATAGATTCCAATAAATTTGCTCTAGGTTGCATATTGTCATCATTATTTGTGTAGGATAGGTTTCATATTATACTCTTTCGTGCCAAATAAATTTTCAATTATTGACGAGTGTTACTTGCAGAGGTTCAACTACCAGAAGAAAAGGTTTCGGAAGTTCAATGCAAAACAAACATTACTCCGCAATGTCAGTGCATTTGCAGAAGACTTTTTTCAGGTTATTTCTGAACAAGATGAAATATTAATATGTTA